TGAGGCGGAACATGCCAACTGCGGTTGAAGAACAATGTTTGGAAGTGGTGTGAGCAGGGGCAGGAGGTTGCTACTTCCAAAGGGCGTGGGGAGTATTGGGTCAGGTACAGGTTGTGCACCGCAATCTTCAGGGGATCGGCAAGCAAGCAAGGCCGTCGAACATTTCCTAAAGGTGATGAAGTTGTGTGCAATGCGGATCGGGGAGATAGTTCACACTTTGGTCGCTGCCGGCGCGAAGGTCCACCCGAATGACAAGAACACGAGGTACTTGCTGAAGAATTACAAAGGAAGCGGTGGGGAGGACGGTCCTGTTGAAGGAGAAGACTGCGATGACCCCTAGATAGATGAGCCCCAACCGTCGCTTGTTGCTGGCCGGTCTGTCGCCGACACTGTGAACCTGGCTGCTGCTGCGCTCGGCCAGGCGAGGGGAAAGGATGGTGCAGTGGTGGGTGGACTTAGTGATGAAGGTCAAGGGTCGACAGCATGAGTGGTCGCCAGCCGGCAGACCACTATACGGCGGTGGGTGGACAACGAGGCGCGAAAAAAATTGGACATCGCATGGGCGGAGGCCATGTTCAGGGCTGGGATCGCATTCAATTTCCTGAATATAGACACGACACAGTCGTTACGTGCTGTGTACTTGGAGGTGGCGAGCGCGAGGCCGAAGGTGAAGCTCCCGTCGTTCAATCGCATGAGGACTGTCATGTTGGATGTCATCTATCTGAAGATTCAGAAAGAGGTGTTTTCGTTGACAGCATGTTGGGACACGTCTGGATGCACTTTCATCACTGACGGCTCAACCGACCGCAGGAATCGGCCAATGATGAACTTCTTGGCGGCCGGTGAGCAGGGGGCGATGCTTGTGGTGACAGTGACAATGACGGGGAGGAAGAAGAATGCAACAACATTGGCGAGGTTGTGGGAGCAGGTGACGAGGGAGATAGGCTTGAAGTGCATCAACGCCATCTGCACCGACAACGCGGAGGTGAACAAGAAGGCGGCCCAGATCCTAGAAAGACGGAAGGAGAAGGAGTTGGCCAGGATTCCTTGGGTTCCTTGCGGGGCACACTGATGCAGTCTCCTGCTGAAGGACTTGGCCAACCTGTCGTGGATCAAGGGCACCGTGAAGACAGCAAACACGATCGTGAAGTTCATCAGGAATCATCATGCCACCAATGAACTGATGATGTCCATTGATGACACGAAGTCCCTGCTTCGTCCCGCTGAGGTCCGCTTTGGATCCGTGTACATGATGCTGCAACACTTGGAGGACAGAGAGGATGTCTTGACAGAGATGGTCGACGGGAAAGAGGCTGCAAAGTGGAGATCATTGAGATGGTCAGGGGAAAAGTTGCGCAGAAAGGAAGACCTTGTCTACTACACGGTGAGGTCTGAGTCTTGGTGGCCAGAGGTGAAGAAGATTGTCTCCATCATGCGGCCTGTGTACGAGTTGCTGAAGAGGATGGACGCGAAAGGCACCTCTCCAACAAATCTTGTGGAGTACGACGAGCTCATCGCTAGGAGGCTAAGAAATGTTGTGCTGGAGAAGGTGAGGGACCGCATGCAGATGATGAGGTAGCCAGTCCACGCAGCTGCATTCCTTCTCGACCCCCAACGGAGAAATCCACGTTGGCTCTTCGATCAGGACAGTGCGCTGGTGCAGAATGCAATGAGCTTTTTGTTGAGGCAGGTCGGGGGCGAGTGGAACAGCAAGGCACATTCAGACATCTGGGCGGATCTGATGGAGTTCCACAAGGAGCCCGGGAAGCAAGCGCACACTAACTTGGAGCCCGGGAAAGCCCCCAAGAAGCGCAAGGACGAGCACATGTGGAAAAGGGTTGCGAAGGACGATGCTTCAAGGTTGACCCCGGCGGCCTGGTGGGCAGCACACGGCGGGGATGTCCCGGACCTTCAGAAAATTGCAGTCAAGGTCATGGGCATGTGGAGCACTGCCACCCCTGCCGAGCGCAACTGGACGTCCATGGACTTCGTCCACTCCAAGAGACGGAACAGCCTGTCCCCGGAGTCCTCGAGAAGTTAGTATACATTCATTGGAACATGCAGTTGCTGCGTGCTCGAAGCCACAAAGACAGCGGGTATGTTGATGTGTGGGGTTCCTTCTTTGAGTCGTTGATGGAGCCGGAGAAGAATGATGGTTCCCTGTTGTCGGCGAGTGTTGAGGATGCCGCAGAGAAAGAAGAGGAGGAGAGGAGGATAAGGACAATGGCGAAGGCTCCAAGAGGGAGAATTCCCAAGGACCTTTTTCAATCAGACTCCAGTGGCAGCAGCGACCTCGAGGACCTCGTGTGGAAGGGCAAGTGTTGGAACGAGTTCTCATCGGAGGACTGCAGCGAGGAGGGAGGGGATTCTGATTTCGAGCTTGACGAGGCTCCAACTGTCCCGGCGACCACATGTCGGCAGGCGTACGCGGCAACGCGAGAGAGAGTTTGAGGTGGAGTCGATGCCTGTTGTCGCCAGGGTGGACACGGATGTCGAGTTTCTGTTGCACCCCCACGACGATCCGGACGAGGAGGAGGCCGCACGTGCGAAGGCAATGGCAGACTGGGATGCAGAACTTGTGGAGCACCGAATGCATGCACAGGAGGCCCGTCGTGCTGCACTCCCTACTCGCAGGGAGAGGGAGAGAAACGCTGCACAACAAAACAAGCACACCGATGACCCGGCGAATGAGGTGGACGTGGAGGACGAGGAGAACATTGCAACGCACACAGAAGAGAATGTGGCACAACAGCGTGGGGACGAAGGACAGCCGGTGGACGAATCACGAGCGCAGCAGGGGATAGGAGTTACCGAGCCAGCGATGGAGAGGACCCGGCCACAGCAGGAGGAGGCTTCGGAGGCAGGGAAAGAGCAGCCAGTGCGGGGTTTGGTGTATGTGTGCAGGCCCCGCCCACATGCGGACCAGGAGATGGGAGTGGAGGAACAAAAACAAGCGAGCAGGCCGCAATGAGTGACCACCCGGAGGACCGTCCGAAGGAGCAGCAGGCTGCAGAGGAAATGGGCACACCCCCGTTCCCTGCACAGAACGAGGCTGTGCAGCATRACAACCTGTGGAAGAGCAGAGCAGGCAGGAAGGGGAAGGTCCACGTGGAAGATTCCAGAACAGCGCCCCGACGGGGCCCCGGAAGACCCAAAAAAAAAAAAACAGCTGGAAAATCCCCTAAACGCGACGCGGACGGCGCAAGACACAGGCTCGCAAGAAGGTCATCGTTAGTGACGATGACCCAGATACCGATGGCAGTGGCCCGCAGTCTGATGACGAGTGCAGCTCACACGAGTCTGATTGAGGACACTGAGAGAGACACTGAGAGAGAGAGAGAGAGAGAGAGAGAGAGAGAGAGAGAGAGAGAGAGAGAGAGAGAGAGAGAGAGAGTCCAGATTTTGTCACACAAAACGATGATCTAGAAACAAGTTCAGACTCCAGACTTTGTCATCTTTGACTTTGGGTTTCACCGTTTCAGTGCTTTCTTTTTCTTCTTGTTCTGTGTCGTCTTTGTCTTCCTCTTCTTTTTCTTCTTCTGCAGGTACGCTTCTGTCAACATTTGCAGAAACTGCCAGAAAGCCAGATACGTTGTTGCCAACGCCCGTGTCTGCTGAAACCAGACCACCACAACCCCCCCTAACCCCCGACCCCAAACCCCTGACCCCCAACCTCCCCCCCCCAACCTCCCCCCCCAATCCCCAAAACAAAGTTCTCTGATCAAAGATCTCGGCGAGCGCAGTCCAACCATGATTTCAAAAAAATAAAAATAAAAAAATTGACCCATGTTTGGGCCCAACCGGAATTCCGGTTGGACCACCGGGGGTCCAACCGGCCCGGTTGGGACCAGGCCGGTCCAACCGGCCGGTTGCCGGCATAGCCCTGGTTTTTCTCCTTTTGTTCTTTTCTTCCTTTCCCTGCCAGCAAGGCAACGCATATTCCTCATGCTCAAAACGCCCTCGCTGAGGGCATACTCACACTAGCACCGTTGAAATGCATCCAACCACTTTCACGGGCAAAGCTTTGTTGTCGTTGTTTTTTTTTTTGTTAATTTTTTGTCTGACAGTCGTGTTCCCCATGTTCTTCGTTCTGCCGAAGTGCCCTCACCGAGGGCAGACTCACACATAGTACTCCAAAAAGTGTATCCAACTGCAATTACGGCCAAAGCTTGTTTTGTTTTTTGGGACGTGCGGATTTGACATGGGCCCAAGAATTCGAAAACCTTATGACGCTCCGACCCTCCCCCGAGCCCACCTTTTACTTCTTGTGGTTATCTTACTGCAAGGCTGAGGCCGTGTACTGGTGGTTTAAGAGATCACTGTAGATCGGGTCCTAAGCATATGCATCTTTTACTTTCTGCTGTAGATTTACCCCTATGTCTAGATAATGCACTATTACCCCAAAGTAATCAGCTCTCCTGCTTATGGCATCGGCTACCGCATTATATTTTCCTTTCACGGGCTTGAGCCCAAAGTCAAATTGTCTCTCTCTGCTGCTCACCTAGTCAAATTGGGCATTATCCTGGGTTGTGTATTCAGCCATCTCAGAGGTTCATGATCTAAGTAGACTTTAAAGCGTCCCCCAAGCAGGTAATGTCTTCAATGATCTAGAACCTGCTTGAGAGCGTAGAGTTCTCTCCTTTTTTTTTTTTTCTTGGGGGGGGGGGGGGGGGGGGCAGGGAACATGCTCCAACCTATTCGTGGGGAGCAGCACGTGCTGGGAACTGGGCCAAGCGTCCCATTCAAGATCATATTGAGAAACTGAGAAATTTATGGGAAAATCCTTGTGGTACAAGGGCCATTACCCGGCTTCGGCTAAGAAAGACAACTGTGTACAAGAACACTAAAAAATTATCTTGCCTCCAAAGCTCGGATCAAAGGAGCATTTCATATGTTAAGGCTGCTACTACTTTTTTGAAGGCAGCTTGAAAAAAAAAAAAAAAAAAAAAAAAAAACCCCATGAATTCTACGGGTCTATAGCCATCCCCGTCATCCGGCTGTAACACAGCGCCAATGCCATATTGGCTTGTCTGTCGTGACATCTAAGAGTAATGGGGGATGAACTACCTTGAGGAAGAGATATTCTACCTAGGCCTTCTTTAATTTTTTTAAGGTCGAAGTACAATTTTTGTCTCACTTCCAGATCTTAAGGAGTTTGCGAAGGGGAGCAGTGATAGTAGAGAAGTTTCTCACAAACTCTCTATAATAGTCGGTCAATCATAAAACCGATCGCAACTCCGTTAGACTGCGAAGAACTGGTCAGTCTCTAATTATTGTTATTTTGCCATCCTCTGGTTTGATGCCATCTTCATCGAATATGTGGCCTAAGTATAAGACTTTTGTCTTGACCCACTCACATTTTTTTGCATTAATCTTGAAGTTGGTTTCCCTCAGTTTTTTCAAAATTTGCCTTAGATGGCCCTCATGGTCCTATAAGGACTTACTAAAAACTATGATATCGTCTAGAAATACTACAACGAATCTATCTAGCCACGGTCTAAACAAGTTGTTGATGCAGCGATGAAATGTGGTTGGGGCATTGGTTAGTCCAAAATGCATTACTATGAACTCATAATGCCCATATCTACTCCGAAATGTCGTCTTATACTGATCATCAGGGTGTGCCTCTATCTGATGGTACCCTGACATCAAGCCTATCTTAATGAAGTACTGGCACCCTTGCACCCGATCTAACAGATCGTCTATACTGGGCAATGGTTCTGCATTCATTACGATTATTGCATTTAGACTCCTATAATTGATACACATTTTCAGTTCTCCCTTTTTTTTGGGGACGAACAAAACAGGTGCGCCGAAGGAGATGAATTGAGAATAATCCATCATTTCTTTATGAGCTCGTCTAATTGTTTGCGTAACTCCTCTAGCTCTTTGGGAGACATTCTGTGATTGCTCCCTTAGGCGTCTTACTGTCAAGCTCTATCTCTTTGCGGTGTTGAATAGCCCCTGGTACTACCCTTGAGGGTGTTTTAGATATGTCTGCATATTCCTTGAGCAAATTGACAATAGTGGGATGGATCATGTCTTCCTCCTTTGGCTGGTCTGATGCTTGCTTTACTTAGGCTACAAAGACCTGTTCTTCGAGCTGCTCCTTCGTTATAAGTCTAGCGAAGGCAGAAGCACTGAGGCAGCAATGTGCTAAGGAGTCATTAACTCCTGACACATGGAACATGCGGGTTTTTTTAATCACACCTGAGGGACTAGGGAACCTACGTTCATGCTCTCAAAAATGTCATGTGGCTCCAACTGCCTCACCCCAGTCGGTACCAAGTATTTTATCAAATGGGAGATTGTCTTCTACGAGTAGAGTCGGGGAATGGAGGACCTTTTCTACCTTTCCTTCTCCTTTTAGGCAAAAATACGCTTGAACTTCCTCGACGTACTCCGAGTCCTCGATCCTCATGATGCGGTTATCTGTGAGGATACTGACTACATGTTCTTCCAACTTTTGGGCTTTGAGGCCTAGCCTCAATTTTTTCTGTGTTTTACGACTTATGTAACTTTTAGTGACCCCACTGTCTATAAGGGCTCTTACTTTGGATCGAAAGATCTCTATATCAGCTAACAATAGTTGTCCCTTTTTATTCTTTTTCATCTTGGCTCAGGTCGGCCATCTCTCTTTTAACTTTTCGACCAAACCTGTGAGGGAAGCGCTTAGAGAGACTCTAATACAAACAATCTTTGGGCAACTAGCTAGGCGTTGACCAGCAACCTCTGTCATGGAGATATGTGGAGTGAGAGTTTCTATTTCACACGCGCGCTCATTTCCACGAGCTTCTGGGGTAGAGGCAGTTGCGACCTCTACCGGTGGTTGCCTTTTGCTTCCCGAGATGCAGCGCGATTGGGCCTTTTATATTCCGGGCAAAATTTGATAATATGCCCAGGATCTCCACAACACACACATTGGAACTTGTCTCACACATTGGAACTTGTCTATACTTTAAAAAAAAAAAAAAAAAAAAAAAAAAAAAAAACCTTGTGTATACGATTTTGCCAGACATTTTGAATCAGGCCTGAGGTCTCCCAAGGTTTGCCTTCTGGCCTTTCTGGGTGTCATCCACCCCATCTGGGAGGTGATCGACCAGAGCTAGGGCGGTTAGACGGGGGACCTTGACCCCTACCTCCCTCTTGGTGGTCAATGTTGCATCCAACCCCCTAGCCACCTAGCCCTCGACCACTCGAGGCCTGGCGACCTCTGGCACAGTCTCATCCTCCTTGCGGCCTCCTTCCGGTTGTGACAACAACGTAGGAATTCCCTATCTTTGTTTTGTTGTCCTCCTCCTCAAGTCCCCATTCAATGCCTGCGTAGGGGACTTCCTCTACACCACCTTCGTGCATAGTCAGTATAAGACTATCTTTGGCCTTGACTTGGCCGGAGATGGTACGACCTTTCCACTTTCTCCCCTTGGCTAAGTCCTTGTGCCAGAAAGTGGTAACCAGCATGGATTGGGCGGCAAAAGCAACAACTTCCCTACTAAGGAGATCGTAGGTCATCCCGGGCTGTTGCTTTTTGTTAAAGAAGTGCCCTTGTAATTGCTTCGGAAGTGCGCAGCAGAAAAGCTGGATTAGTTGTGCTTTAATAACTCCATGGCCAGACACAACGACGAGTTCATCCATAGCGACCTTTAAAGTGTGTACACTCTTCCACGGCCGCGTATGGATCATTTGGAGTTTGTCGAACACCCTCAGTCCTCTAGTGACATCCGCAAAGCGTTCTGGGAATGCTACAGAGAAGTCCCTAAGGTGAGTAATAGCAGAATATGCAACTGTGTCATTCTCGCAACGGGCGGTGCGTGCGAGCGATCTAGCGAAAGTAGACGTTTGGTCCCTTAAAGCTTGAAAAACTATCAGGACATGGTTTTCGGGAGGTACGTCTGGCAAGTTCAAATAAGACTTGATATTGGCCTCTCAATTCTCGAAGTCTTCACCCTTCTTCCCATTATAAGGTTCAAGGAATCAAACTTTTTCTTTCTTGGCGTGGTCGAGTCTCCTTGTGTCAGACCCGCCGGGATGGCGGTCCGACAGGATGGAGAAGAAAGGGTAGACGAAGGAGGAAGTGGAGATGGAGCTGGAAGGGACAGCGCAACTCCGACGCAGACTCAACACCGCACGTACTCCAACAAGTGCAAAAATGATGAATGACGAAAAATAGACAACAGTTGGGGTATACCCCCAGCGGACTGACTGGACTGGACTGAACTGGACTGGTACTGACAGTGGTATCGGGCAGGACAAGACTAGACTGAAACAGTGCA